ATCTCCTCCTTCAATTTTGATACGACAGCCCTCACCTTATGAATGGGACCAAAGTCGTAGTTGTATAGATCAGCACTTATGAACGAAGCTGCCAAGACCAGGAAGACGTTTGCAAAGCCTGAGCTTCGCCAAACGGACATCTACCCGTACCTCTTCGACAGCCACGTCTATCTACCATCTTAGACAACCGGATATGTCCTTCCTTCATATCTCACTTCAGAAGTTTGACATGCCGTCACGTCGTTAAAGAATTTTACGGCGCCCGGTCTCGATAAGATCGAACCAGAACATCTAAAGAGCCTTCCATCAGTTATCGTCGGACAGTGACAAGGCAGTACCTGTTTGAATGCAAATTGCTCACGCTGTGGAAAACTAGCAAGGCTGTGTTGCTGTATAAGAGGGGAGATCAGAACGATATTGACAAATATCCTCAATCTCCCTGCAGTATGTAACCTATAAACTTTTCACGTGAGTCATTATAAATAGGATTGGCAGAATACTAGATAGACGTGTGAGCGAACAGAGTTTCAGAGAGGATTCAGTTTATTCACTTCTACGATGTCATAAGACTAGCTGAAGTACCGCGATACTCATGATTGGCGTCCATCGATGTGGAGAGGGCCATTGATTCCGGCGAAATAGAAGCGGCAGTTGAGGCATAGGTCAGGCAGGCTCAATATATAAGGGTTCCGCCACTATAAAGAAGTCATTTTCAACTCGAAGATAGGGGTTCGAAGGGGCGATACCATTTCCCCCAAATTTACTGTGCCTCGGGAACACCACGCGTCATATGGAATGGGAGGAATAGGGAGTGAAGGTCCACGGCCGCCACATGCACCACCTTCGCTTTTCTGACAAAATCGTGCTTATAACCCGAACATCGAGCAAATGCAGAACCAGAACAAAACATCGCAGCTGAGCAAATGCAGGCCAAGGACAACGCTTGGGAGAGGATAAGTTAGTCAGTGAGCAGCCAACGTCATTCAACGTGCTGTGAAAAGGGCGATGCCTGGAATTTTCCTATACAGAAATGAATCTGGAGTTCCGAACTACATCAACGAAAGAAAATCAGGGATGCCGTTGCTAGTTCAAGAAATCAAAGACAAGGTGGGCCGAATAACTTATGCGGTACTTGATGAGTGTTGGAACCGGGCCGGCTACTGTCTGGATTCCTTGGGACGTCAAACGAACACGAAAACAGCTCCAGCACAGTGGTCAATCTTCTTCAAGATGCTTCGAACGAAAGGAATGCTGCGCTTTGTGTGCTTCAAGCAAGGATGATTCTCTTGAGCGGCTATGACGAACGGAGAGGTTATTGGCTCCCACTCTAAGAAATCAATTATCAACGGGATGCAAAAATTGATGGGTAGTCCTGTGTCGAATTTCGTGAATGGGAAAATATTATTTGTTCAAAAGAAGGAGTGAAGAATTAGCCGATTACTATAACTTTGCCAAAGAAGGAGGGAAGCCCGGCGTGAACCGGGCGAACCGATTGATGAATAAATAAATTGAAAGGTTGGATATACGAGTTTGCTAGCGCAGAATTTGCGCTAAAGAGACGGCGCGTAGGTGGCAATAGAAGCCCATGCTACCTAACAGCAATATGGCTACGATGAGCCGCTCCAAACGCCATACACCACCAAATTTTCGCGCACGGCCAACTTCACTGACCCCCATGCTCCACCTCCCGATATGCTTCCATCCTCTTAACTCTGAAGCGTTTGCTTGCGTCGTTCAGGATCAAACAGATTGTGTTCTTCCCAGTATCATCCGGTTAAAATGGTTTTAGGAAGTAATGTGCTGCTCTACGTCTTTAACAGTAATGCCGGAGCGCTGTGTAGCATCTGTTTGATCCTGAACGATGCCAAGGAACTCACCAGAGTCAAGAGAATAGAAGGAAACCTATGAGGAAGAGGAGCATGGCGGTTAGTAAGATTGGGGGTAACGGAACTTTCCCTCGGTGGCGGGCTTTCGCTTTGCGGCATGCGGCAAATCTTTCTGCAATTACCGTACTCATCCCGCCTCCCCGCCAATAGATAGGAAGCAGTATTTTTCGTTGATTGCCTTTCTTTTTTCAGTTTTGATCGTTTTTTCCTGCTTCTTTTTCGTTTTTATGTTAATTAGACTTGATTAATCAGAAATTGACTCCTCCTATGTTAGCGAGGATCAAAACCGCATTGGAAGCGGCCAGCCAATTTAAATAACTAAAGGACTCTCTACATATCAAATTGTGCGCTCCAATCTTCTGTCGCAATTCTGCGATACGCGGCGGGTGCGGCGTGCGCGACGCCGTTTCCGGGGGAAGATACCGGACCCGTAAAATTGGGCATGGGCAAAAAGTTGGTATGGACGCGGAATCCACCAATAGGGTACTGTCTTGGTTAGAGAAAGCAGATAGAGGCAGCGAAAATGAGGGTCTGGGATCTTATTCCCGATTTCTCAATTTCGCTTGGACTGGTCGTTCGAACCTGAAAGGTAGCTAGTAGAATAAATAAACACAATAGTCAACAAACATGCAGTAACTGTTATCACCGATCGGAACCGCATTGGGATTGAAGAAGCGACGAGAAATCTATCATATGTCAAGTGGTGACTTTGCGCGCCTGTTTGTATGTATGTCCGTTTGTGCGTCCGTCCGCGAAAAAGGCACGTAGGCACTATGACGAGTGTAAATGTCCCGTGAGGAAACAGCTATAAAATGGGAAGTCAACCGACACTATTTATATTGATACTTCAGCAAGTCGTAAGTAAGCAGTAGTGGGCATGTGGTGCACGCGTTAGCGTGCGTAGCCCAACAGGTTGTGAATAATTTGAGGTCTCTAAAATTGCGTGCTCTAATCTTCCTTCGCATTCCTGCAATACGCGGCTGGTGCGGCGAGCGTGACGCAATGTTCGAGGGGAAGACACCCCACCCAACAAATCAGTTAAATGAAATTATGGTGCTTTCAAACGACCAACTTCAACATGACCCTTGACGTCGCGCTCAGCAGCAAACTTTTCTTTTTATGTCGAACTCTTCTTGAATATGCATAGGTTAGCAAAAGATACTGATATTCTTGTGCATGGCATCATATGCGCTTCCTTAATTCTAATTTCCTTCATGGCTGGAAAGTGACTCGAAAAATATTCGAAATCTTCTTTAGAAGATTAGACGTTCGCTCCCGAGATTGGAAGGGAATGTTGTACGATTGTCTATTTATTGAAAATTGAGATGAACATCACAAAGACAAACAAAGATGTGGTGTACTCATAAAGATCACATGACTCAGACCAAGTAGGTCGCAAGTTCCCCCCGAGACTTAGGTTCCCTACTTTAGGAGCACTGCTGAAAGAAAGTTCCATGGGACAACTTTTATCACCTTACTTCTTCACTTCTTCTTCGTACCCCTTGATTACCGCTTGAATAACATCACGAATACCTCTATGAACAGATGACAAGTAATGGCGTGAAGTATCCTCATTCGTAAGAAGGTTGAGCAATCGAATGATCTTATCAATTACTTTTTTGGTCTTGGAAAACAACCAAACCAGAAAGTCTCCATGTACAGAGTGCGCCATAAATATGGTAACAACCTTTCGAACCTTCGTGATTTCCTTGTTTAGAGGGTTTCTCCAAATCTGCAGCTGCCCTTATGTTTATGATATACTCTAGGCCACATATCCACTTTGGTACTCTCAAGTCATCGGATTTTGAAAAATGGTGGAGCCTCGCAGACATCCACTAACCGTCACGTCTTCGCGCGCATTCGTTAATTCCTTTTCCGGAATCGCTCCTCGTTTCGACACTTCCCACATGGCAGTCTCTTGCAACGCGATGCGCAGACAGGTCAACGACAAACCTTAAAACGATCGTCTTGTCTCACATACTACCCCTTTTCTAGTACAATAGCTTCGGAAGCAGTACGCTGCGGAACCTTCAGAAAAACGCGAGAAAAACGACGCTGATTTGTTTGTGTGTTCTAATCCGACGGGGATAGTCTACTCAGAGTAAATACAATTGTATCCAAGCACAATTCGAAAGCCTCACAAGCTTCTTGACGTGAAGAAGTTGGAGAGAGAAAGCGCGCGGCACGCGCTTCGCCACACTTGTTCCTGAATAAAGGTTGTTCAGCGTGGAAGAAATGTTGAGATCTCAGAGTAAACGTGTATTTCCCACTACCAGTGCTGATGTCGCCGAGGAGAGTCAGGTCGCCTCTCATAGCCATTTTCCCTCTTTTATGATGGTTTGAGCTAGAACCTCAACCATCAGAGCGATATCGCAAATTTTGGTCGAGAAAAGTACAAAACTTAATCCGGGCCTCTCTAAAAAGGGTTTTCTGGATGGATGCAGCTGGGGGTCAAAAACCTTTCTAGGGATACGTTTTTAAAACTACAGCACACTCGCTCACGAAAGGGAAGAGATCAAGGCTGTTGCTGAGGGAATGTTCGCGATTTTATCCCAGCTTCCAATCCTCCTACGAAGTTCCCGGATCACAATTTTATTGGATATAGTCTGTGCTGTAGAGGGAGGCCTGCGCTTCCATACGCATCACTGTTGCTGCTCTTGAGAAATCACTGAAAAAAGCGTGGGCTGAAGTTTCTCAAGAAACTCTGTGTGCCACCGTCGATGAGTAGCCAAAGCGTCTCCTAGCTATAATTAGTACAGGGGACGATTATATAAGATCATTGTGTGTTCGTTTTGTAAATGCGATGCATAGTAAATAACTCACATGAATTCGCCATGCATCAATGAGAACTGCGGTTTCTGTAGCCCAATTCTTCTGTTACCATATTTATGGCGCACCCTATTACTGTATGATCTCCCACGTGAGGATCTAAGATTTTGAAAACCAAAAGTTATTTCACCAACCATGTCATCTTCGGATCTCTCAGCAACTTTCTAATACCTACTGCTACCTTGCTGTACTGCGGCAAAACTATACAAAAAACGGTCCACAAAAAAAAAAACACAGCACAACTTCCCGTAACATTCATTATTTATTTCAAGTTCATAAATTTAATCAAGCGAAAAAGTGATGTGTTGAACCTGTTGCACTGAAACCAGGTTTAGCTGCAGTTAAGTTTGATGGTGTAGGAGCTACAAGGGGAACTGCTCCGGCACCTGTCGCGTTCGTAACTGCTCCGAGTGATGCCGCAGAAGCTGTTCCATTAATTGACGACACGGAAGCGGTGCTATTCGTTGGTCCTGGCTGCAGCGCACTCACTCCACCAGACCGAGCTCCTCCTATGCCTATGACGGCACTTACAGGTGCGTTGTTGGTGATTCCGGCGTTGCTTACAACGCCGAGTTGTTTGGCCATAGTCTCGACTTGCTTGTACTGTGAAGTATTCTGAAAAAGTACGCTGAAGCAAAGGGGCGTCACTTCAGCACAACAAATCCTCTCAGGGTTAACTAGGGGTAAAGGGATAAGGTTCACAGATCAATTTCGTTAGTGTATGGGTGAACAAACTGCTTGAATAGATAGTAACATTCGTTTGAGCACCAAACGCTACTTTTCGAAAAGCGTATAGAGAAAAAATGCGGGCCAAGGATAATTCTGCGGGTCATGGTACTTCTTCCAGAACATGTGCTACTTCTTTCGCGTCGCGCTCGCCGCACCTGTCGCGCGCTGCGAAAGGAAAATATTGAGTTCCTTGGAAAAGGATACAGTAGTCGCAGTGGAAGCACTGCCGATTGCTGTGGGGTTTGGAGAAAATAGCCCCCCCCCCCACGTCCCAGTCAAATTTCATGAAAACTTAAAACCTGATTTGTCAGCAAACTGCACTGCTCTTCACACTTACATTTCCTGCTGCCATGAGTGCCGACGAGACTATTGACGACAGCTGCATTGCACGTATGAGTTTTGAGTACTGAAAACTTTCAAAGTTGTTTTTTCATAAAACTGAAGCGAATCCGAGCTGTAGTTAATGACGATATGTGACAAAAATAGACAAACAAATGACAAATTGAATTCATTCGTCAATAACACCAGCCCGCCTAGCTTATGGAAATAAGCCACAGTTTTGAAATCATAAGTTTATCAGGCGATTTTCATCACAGTGCCAGATAGGGTACCGCTTAGGATGAAGCGCGAAGGTATGGTACATCTAGCAAATACCTGCTTCCCAAGAATATATTCACAGGGGAGACGGGAAATTGAATCGGTCAGGACAGTGACGTAGACTCAGCCACACAGCCCTCTGCTTACCTTCATGCTAGCACAGCTAATATTTCTGCTACTTTTTTTTCTTTTCGACATGCTATTCTCTCCAAGGTGGGTGAACAAGTGTGCAGGAAATCTGTTGCACTTGGGCTGGGTACTTACGCCTGAGGTACGTGTTTAGCTTAATAAGGCATCCACTTGGGCCCGCCCTGGAATAGCTTCGGCTAATTGCGTTTGCCCAGCTGACCCACCACATTGCTTTGCTTCTTAACTTTTCCCTTGCTTGAGCTTAATCATGTTTTTTGCTGTGATGAATGTGCTACGCATGTAGGTCTCTACTTTTGTTTTGGTGATATCTGACAACTGGAAATTTTTTTGTGAAGTGGGAGTTGTCCTGTTCTGTTCTGTTCTGCTTTTCATCGATTCTTCTGTTGTTTTGGAGTTTTTCATATTATTTTAGTTCTTAACGGTGCCGATGAAGCACCCCTGTGTGCATTATAAATAAATAAAAAAATAAATGATTTTTCACTGACTCACTACAGCCATTTTTAAACAGAATGATCAAAAATGTGTCTGACTAGCTGCCGATCGATATACGACACTTGATATTAGCGCCCACAAATTAAGAATGAGGAAAAGAAGGTCTCCTAGAGCATGATCTAAATGAATAAATTCGATAGAAAAAAAAAGTTAGAACGAGTAAATGGTAACTGTTCGAATTAGAATCGAGAAGGTAGCTGCATTCGACAGTTCTTAACTAATAACATTTGGAAGGCACTTTCTAAAATTTGTTATGTTCCTACAAGCCTGTTTAATCAGGGTTTCTATCGTAGATGTCGCCTTCGACCGATACTACGTACTACATCCCCCTACTACTCAATATGATTTTTTAAGGAAGTAATGGACTAATTCCGTCATATTCATGAAAGCGAAGTCGGAATGAAGTCAACACGAGTTGATAATAGATGAGCCCACTTTATAATATGTAGTAAAGGTCTTACATTTTGCGCGGAATCTCCTGTGAAACCGTACATGAGAGCTAACTTTTCCGCTATCATATTCATTTTCCTGTGCAGTCCGGCGATTCGAGGTACAACGCTCTCGAAATAGTCACGACGCTGACTAGCATCTATCTGAAAAATCTCATCCCATCTATTATGTGTTACAATATGAATCAGCTTCAAAAAACTAGCCCTTGTTCAGTGTAAGTGACCATTAATACTTATATCTTCGCTTTCCATTCTTTTTGATGTTGCCTTCTGTTCGAATTATGCATTCGATCGGAGAAAACATGGCTGCTGTACCTCCGCGCTATGCCGAAAAATGGTGCAGTGGGGTCAGGCATAGTGCCAAGGATTCGAAAAGATTATTTTGGTCAAAAGGCCGATGCAGGTGTTAGTTAGAAACGGCCGAGAAACTTCCAGTAGACAGGGTAGATACAAAGATTCCTCCATCGAGAGTTCCTTGGAGTACTTTTGGCCATGAATGTGAGACTGGAAGGCTTAGTGCAAACGGCAACTATGTTGCCCGACGTTGGACAGAGCATTTCAATGAAGGCTAAAGTTTATTATCATTTTGTCGTAAACCATTATGTTTTCTCGAGGTATATGCGAAATTGTAGTTATCATGTTATTCTGCAGCTTGCGTTTTCAGGGTTGACGGCTTCGATTTCATAGTGTAAATCTAGTACATTTATATTCTAAATACTCTTAAACGGAACGATATACAAGGCTAGATTTTTCAGCACTCGATTTGTGTTCACCACTTCACTTCGTCTCTAATTGCAAAGTTCGACCGAACGAATTTTCAGCACTATATCTCGCAAAAACAGTGAAGACACTCTTGACACGTCTGCCGATTTGCTGCTGAAAAGGGGTTTCTTATTCATTGTCGCATAGCAATTCTCCTTTTTTATGGAAATGATGGGAAAAAGCTGCAAATGTTCGCGCCCTCGCGATACTGCTACAATTTCTCTAAATTTATTAAACTTTCTATCCCACACTCATCATCGTTTCCTGAGAGGAAAGTATTGCAATTTTGCCTTTTGTTTATGTTTCCGTGCTTATGCTATCATTCTTTTTCTCCTAATTTCCTGTCAGACGACGGTCTTGTGTCTGATGGGGATCCATCTGGCAGCCTTATTCATTAACTTAGAACAGTTCAATGCCAAGAAAACCGTAGCTCACCTCACCACCCAAGGCAATAAGCACTTTCCACGCTGTAGCTGTGTTCAAATTGGCGGCCATTGTGCCCATTATCTAGAGATATTGTCGGTGTAGCGAAATAAACAACAGACAGGTAACTATGCAAAAAAAAAATCCAAAACATTGGAGTTGGAATCAAAGAAACTCAGGTCACCAGGTACCTTACTTCAGATATATCCTTTGCATGTGATATGGTTTGGCCACAGTAAATCACAAAATTAGGGACCTACAGATACGCCCGGAATTGAGGAGTATTCAGCAAACCTTGTAGATTTCCTGACTAGGAATCCTCATGCTTACTTTTCAACAGAGAACTCACCATGTCCATGACGTTCTGGGTTTCGTTCACATTTGAACTACGAAATATGAACTCGATGGTTTCGCTCAGGGTGTTGGTAGCAAGGGCATTCCCATAAATGCCGAAGACATCAGTGGACATCATAGGAACGCTGCTAGACTGCATCGGACTGGTACCATGGACGTCAACATTGCTGCTTGGCTTAGAACTGTTGCTGGACATCACGTTGCTACCGCTAGCCATTGTACCGTTGCCAGCCGTAACGGCCCCAGCACTGGCGATGTAGGAACTATTGCCAGTCGTCATATTGCCAGTGCTAATCAACATACTAGCGTTTTTGGCAAAAGAACTGTTGCTAGCCATCATGTTGCCATTGGTCATCGGACTGGTAGCATTGACTGCCGAGATGTTTGCAGACATTCCACCACTTCCACTAGTCATCGAACTGTTACCGGTCATTGGAGCAATACTAGGCATAGAACTGTTTCCGCTGTTACCAGTCATTGGGGTGTTACTAGGCATAGAACTGTTTCCGCTGGCCACTCCAGCAATGACAGCCACTGAAACGTTATTCCTCGGTTGTAAAGTGCCGCCGGATGCTGTGCCATTGGAGGGAGAGGAACTGTTGCCCGGCAATTGAAGCTGAGGAACTGCCACTGACAATACGGCGAAGATGGCATAAAGAAGCATAACTCGTGTCCGCAGAGTGCCTGAAAGTGGAAACATCTCCTAATTCTTACAATTAATAGAATAAGAGAATCGCACGAGTTTGTAAAATTGATATCCTGGAATATCCAGACCGTTCACTAGTTAAGCAGAGGCTATTCAACGGTTTTTTTAGAATCAATCTTACAGCTACAAGCTTACAGCTAAACGAACGTGAACAAAGAAGGGATGTACGACTACGTTGGTTACTTAACAGTAATTTAGGTGCTGGAGGACATCAAGGATCATCGATCAACGAAAAGTACGAATTTCAATTCTGGCCGGTATGATAAAAATTGATGTTAGGTGTCAATCTAGAAGTGAATTGCAATGATAGGGAACCTGGTGCGTATGGTAGACGATTTCTACCAAACAGTGTCTACTCTAGTGAACAAACAAAAGGATTTTGGCCTCAATTAAAAGAGATAGATATGGAGGGACACTACCTACCTCTTGATCCTATCCAAACAACACAAGGATTCACAGTTTAATACTTACCATCAACCATGCACGCACACGATTTTTTGGAGTTACGAAGCAAAGCGCTTCTCCGCAACAGAGAAAAGAGACCGAAGAAGTATTACGTTTGGGCTGGAATTGCGTGGAATGGAACGTGAAAGGGGACAAGAAAAACGAAATTTTAAAATAATTAACCAGTCAAAGAAATCAAAACTAAAGGCGATTCGGCTACGACCATTCAAAATAAGTATGAAGGTAGTAATTTGCAAAATTTCATTGGCTTACCTTCATGGATAAAAAGTAAAATCTACCATCCATTTGGGAAAATTCATCCAAATATGTGTCGTCCAGTATCTTCTCCCCAAAAATGACGTCGCGTCCGCCGCACCCGAACGGGCGCTTTGAAGGGAAAGGTCTGAATTTCCAGTGCAAGAATAGGGTAGCCGCCGCGTGACCATTGCCGCTTGCCGTAGGAGTGCGAGGAGAAGTCCCGGCACCCATGTCGAGTTCGAATGCAAGCTTAGGCTATCACATTAGGTTTCAGGTGAATACGATACCAGCTTGTGGAAATAAGCGAATCGAGGCGTACTCATATGTAATTTTCTGAAACTTCAGAGTTCCTATGACATAAGTTGTGATTCTCGAAAAATAGACAAAAATTCTACAAAAAAGTAAACCGATTATCAATCTGTTTAAAGGCACAGTTCACGATTTCACGATAAAAATGGTTTCTGAGTTCACCCCCTAGGAGTACAGAGTGGCCACCAAAGGTAGCAGTAAGGACGCTGTCGGGTCCAAAAACTGAACAGCAAGGGCATAGTGGAAGCCCGTTACCGGATCGCCTTGGTTCCCCGTCCCTCGACCGGTGGTGTGTCAGTTGAGTGTCGAGGCGATACAGATTGCAGTATTCGCCCCAGGACACACTCAATATTACGCTGGGCACCAAACCATCTCTACGCTCTAGCGCAGTCTCCATACACTCTGCTCTCTGGTGTGAGGGACGCAGAGCAGAGCGTCAGCTCGCCCAACCACTGCCTTCACGCCGTTTTTTCTGCAAACTCGTCCAACCCCCCNCCCCCCCCCCCCCCCCCCCCCCCCCCCCCCCCCCCCCCCATTTTTCTTTATTGGGCCCTTGTATTGCTTTTTGTATGCTGTTTTTTGCGCTCTTTTCATTAATTTTTGCACTATTCTAAACTGTCTCTCTCACTATCCGTTAAAATCGGGCACCCAAAAATTGTCGTAAACTGTGCATTTAAGCAGTTCTCTTTTGCGTGTTTGCATCTCACTGTCAGCGTAACTTAGGTTAATTTACTGCCGTTTCCTGAAAATGAAATGAATGCAAAAAATGGAAATAACTCCAGAACTCTGAGCAAACAAGGTAGCATCCCTCATACAACGCTGTCTTTATACCTAATATTTGCTGTAGTTTGTTAGTAGCATCCTGCTGCTGTTGCTGCTAGTATAGCGACAAGTGTCCAGGATTAATGCTCAATTAGTCCAACTAAATCTTCGATCCCTGCTGCTAGACTCATCTGGGAGGATAAAGGCATGTTTACATCTACTGGTCACGACCCTTACTGCATGGCCATATACGCACACAAAATGTCCCCCGATTCCAAATGGAAGTCGATTGCGGGTAGCATATCGAAAACGCAGCCTTTCAACGCCGAACTTTTTTCTTTATCTTTTAATCTTATGCGCTGATCCCTCATCTTTACCTCTTAGCTTCTTTCGAACGAGAATTTCTTGCTTCCATAGATCATCTTCAAACAGTGAGGCCATACCATGCTGATCATCCACTGAGGAATATTTCACAGCTTAAATTTCTATTCGGAACTACCCAAAATATGAGTACGCAACTCACCTACATATTGAATTGCGGAGCAGTTGATTGTTTAGACAACTAATTTTCCTTAGAGATCGGGTAGGTGCTAATTGATGGTTTTGACGAGACAGATAGCACTCAAAAAATGACGACGTTTGTGATAGACAGGCAATTTACCGTATCTTGCTTTCATATTCTATTCTACCTTGCCTTAGCTTTAGCTTATCCGATTCCCATTCATCAGTGACCAACAGCCAGGGAATTCAACCCCTGTCTTACGATGAATTGTAGAAATTTCGATTTTTGCAAGAATCCAACACGAAAACTCAACACTTGAAACTTAATAACGTCTTTTTCTAAGAGGGCAGAGAGTGACAGAAAAGCATAATTTATTAATGCCCTTGGATATTGTTGGATGCTCAACGATTCTTTTCACAAGACAATAAACAACGGTCAATGAAAAACATTTGCTACGCTTGATTGATATATGTATATACAAATATACTTGAACCCGTAGTCGATTCGTTGGCACTACATTTTCGTTGTTTCCTCGGAAAAATACGCCTCATTTCCGTACCCACCCTTGGGCGAAGGCAACTCGTTCGACGGTGACCGCACGACTGATGGCCTTGACGTCCTTGTTATAACACCTGAAGGAAAGGCATTGATAGGATCGACTAGTACCGTAGGAATAAATACATGCATGACAGGCTTCCCAACATGTGGGGCGCCACATGCTTGGTGTAAAAGTAATAGTGGAAACGGTTTAATGCGCTTACAGGCACACCATGTTCAAATTGGGAGGTGGACTTCGAGAGACTATTGCATAATTCTGGCATTTTTCTTACTGAAGGCGCCCAACACATGCTCCAGAAATTCTTTTCGGAGGTTAGGTGCGCTCAGTCTCGTAGAATCAACCACTGAGCCTTTCATGCTGTGCGCAGTTCATCTCAATGCATTCTTGAGAATATGGGCAGGTGAAACTGAACACATCTCTTCACAGAGCGAATCCTTGATGGATGTTGGTATCCATTTTAGGTTTTGAATTGATGGGAAGCCAAAAACAGCTTTTGTAATTGTATAGCGTGTAGAGCGGAACTACCCGAAAACAGACCGCTCCCAGGTAATGTTCTGTTGAAGCTATCAAGGGCCTAAAAACTATCTTAAAACAGTTGAAAACATAAGTGTCTTTTACATTTAATATGTATACAAATGTACATAAAGGACAAAGGATAAAGTCTTGGGACGTTATTCAATCCAGCCTGAGAGATGCGCCCATTCGTCTTCCATTCAGAATCGCAGTGGAGTATTGAACGCGTATGAGACCTATACAATGACTTGCAGTGGCCAGCCGATGTACAAGTCAGTGCTACTGTCATCCCAATTGGATCCCGTACCCATTATCCGTCCCCGGATGGATGAAGCACACGCACGCATGATCGCTGGTTGGCGCACTTCACACACGCATGATCGCTGGTTCGATATCGATCCGGGATTCGAACCAGCGATCATGCGTGTGAAAAGTGCGCCACTTGCCAGTATGCCATTATTTTACTTACCCATTTCTAGCTGAAATCTCTTCTGATCCCACACAAAGGTGTAGGCAGCGATGAAGAACAGCACAGCGCTAACGATCAGAAGTGAATTCGGAAGGTAGAATGACATCACCAAGGAATGAAAATGGTCTTGCGGTGTATCGTTATTACCACGAATTGCGTCCGAAATCTGAACGAGCAATTATCAGGTAAAATCAGATATGAATTAGCGTATTATTTCTTGAGCGTATTACTCGGTAGATGAGCTGCAGCGAATCATAGGAACTCGGCTCTATCTTGTTATTATTAAGGGGGAAAACAGAGGCTGGGTATTGGCATGTGTATCTGCCACGACTCATCTACATCACATCGTCGAACTCTTTAAGCAAACAAGTTCTCTACCGTGGGGTCGATCAAATGTCAGTATGCTTCGTGAGAATTAGGCTGATTTTCTAAGGTTACTTTCAGGCTAAATAAGTATCCAAATTCAACTCGAACTAGGAGGATTTCAAATGCGTACCGATCGAACGCAAAGTCGTGAAAGCTTTAATATGTTTGAAACTGAAAAATGAGCTGGTTAGCCATTATGACCAATCCATAGTTCTCTGCCATTGAGTGTTATCGCTGCCTTCCAACAGACTCATTGAGGTTCGATCAAAGCTTTGGATCAGATCGCAATGAATTGATGGCCGCTTAGTTAATGCTGCTAAGCTGTATCGCTGTACTGACTGACAAGATGGGTTTAACCAGTATACCATTTCGACCTCTAAGCGCTTAACATACCAATCCAATTATGTACGGTCCAGAAGCATCACCGCAAAGATGAGAAATCAATATCTGCCATGAATTCGCTGCGTTCCGCCGAGTCGGAATGACTACAGCCTAGAAAATAATCCCAGGTATAAAATGCTATTGAGGGGAACCGGATATCATGGAATGTTGAGTAATCATACCATTAACATGTCCACATTCGTCGCCCAGTTGAAACAGGTGGCTGTTATACAAACAAACATCAGCACCTGAAACATTGTAGTGTACAAATGTGCTAGAACTGGGATAAGTTATATCCTGAACGCAGCGAAAGATGCTAGGTGGCAAGCCCTTGCGCTCATCCCTCGCTGCGAACTACGTATGAAGGCGGCGCTATGCTTAAAAATGAACTAAAAGAAAAACCTATTCACCCAACAAAGAGCCATGTTGTATGGTATTTCATGAATAGCGAAGAACAACGTTGGAACGCCGATCAGAGCTCCAAGCCCGCAGACGATTGCATCCGAACGTACGGTTTGTATGAAACGAAACGGTCCAAAACCCGTGCGTAGGAACTGGAATACAAGCTTCAATAGTAGATATTTCCTTTCTCAAGAGAAATATCAACAGGCACATTAACGCATTCGAGGTACAATTCGAAGAATAGGAGCGTTCTGAGGTGAGCTGTTAAGAGCTTTGCGAGTACCTGATTGTAAAGAAGCTAATAGGTTAAAAGTTCTTAACAAAACACTTACACCTGCGAGAGTTGACCCAACACCGACACCCGCTATGCCACCGATGCATGTGATGGCGCCGAAAATCAAGTTGATTCTGAAATTGTCATAGCTTGTTCGCAACAAAGGTGGTCACAGTTTCAATCTTGCGAGCTGTGATTAAATCATGAACGCGAATTGTACACATCTATCGTCGATTTCTACTACACGTCAGACGACAGTATAGTTTACCTTCAATTTTGAAAGGAGTCGCTTTTAAGGAAGTAATATAACTGCTCCTTCACCCATTTACATAGAGTGATTCTTGTAGAAACTGACTAGATCGTAAATGGATTTCTTAGTTGCAGTCAATGTCAGGAGTTCCAGTTGCTGGCAATTAAACCTGATTGGATTGTCAGAGGAGATATGTTTCTTTCCTGACCTTTCTGAAATAAGGGTTAGGACGGACTAACAAGCTCTAATTCTTTGGCATTGGTTTGTGATGGATGTCTGTATCTTTCGGATGCTGGAAAGGTCAGCAAAAGAAAATCAGACATCAACCACCAAGAAGAGCATTAACGTCAAATAAAAGGAGGGAGGGTGAAAGGAAGGAGGGAGACGGCGGAATCAACGCGAATCATGCGGGTCACCGCCATCACGTAGATGCAAAAAAGACAACCGAGTATCGAAGGCGCTTAGCAAGGTTTGGAAGAGTTGATCGCAGGAATAAGACAAGATACTCGTAGGATAAGTACGTTCGCAGATTCTTTTGTGCAAATGGGAAATGAAGGGAAAGAGGGATAAAGGAAGGGAGGGTTGACTCGCACTTCCCGCAATTGTGTTGTACATATATTGGAAACCCTCGACAAACCTCGATTGCTCAGGATCGAGCTGACTCACTCCGTGTAGAATAATATTTTTTCCTTGCACCCCGCCACGCGGACGTTTCTGGACTATGTGTATGGACGAGGACTCGTTCGGGAAATATCTGTCTACCAATGAAGAGGTAACCCGTCACTGTCACATGCTTTACCATCAGATGTCGGCTTGTATGGTCCGAAAGCTCTCGCCAACGTCTTCTACTGCTCGATGGAATTTTGCATTGGAGCGTTCATGATCCCTTTTAGTAATAATTATATAAAAATGTATGCATTCGACTTTAAAGACACGTCTGCATGTCCACACGGCAGTCCGTCTGCATGTCTGCTAAAAGCTCAGAGAAGATGGCGATCTGTACTTTCAACGCACGGACGCTTGCATCGAAAGTGTGTATAGAAGATCTGATGATGCAAGATCAAGCACGACGACATCGGACTGACCGATACGAGAAGGTTGGCCCGCTTCACGCTGTAGTTGTGTCTGGGGAAGAACTGTTCGTTGGAGACAGCAGAGGCGTCAGTGACGTAGGTGTCTCCGTCAACATCGATTCGTTCGAAAGCTTGACAACCCGAATCGGGCATTTCGATTAAGAAGATACTGCTCGATCCCAATTCTGACAATCTTCGTTGTCTACACACCAACATCAAGCTAGGAAAAAGAGGAGTTATAGGCGTTTTATATGCACCTGAAGAAACTCTACAGAGAGGACCATACTTCCTTCAAGGTCCGCCGGTGATTTCAATGCCGAGACTGACTCAAAAACCACCCCCGACACACTTCGTGATCACCTCGTCCGTCCTGAGCAGTGTGCTGCTCAACTCATGTGTGTTATACAGGGTGCAGCAAAAGTTATGGCAAAAGTCGTTTCAGGTTCTCTATAAAAAATGAGGCCTTCGATCTCGATAGGATCTGTGCCACTATTTACTGCGAATCCTTTTCTAAACATTCCATGAAGGAGCAGTTCTTGAATGTTCCATTCTACAGAATGGTGACGAGCAAAGACCAACAAGCCTCCATCCTGCACCTCCATCTGGCTGGATGCATGGCAAAGACCATCTTCAAACAGCTCCAGATTCCCTTAAGAACCGTGTACAACAAGCTCAACAGGTACAAGACGACAGGAACTATGGACGACAAGCCCAAAAGTTGAAGATTGAAGAGTGCAACAACAAAGGAGATCGTGAAAGTCATTCGAGAGGAAATTCGCCGCCACCCTCGTAGGTCCGAGGGAAAAATGGCTTTTGAGGTGGGTATTTCTGCTCGATCTGTTGGAAGGATTGTCACCAGCCACCTTCGACCTTGCTTTTATAAGATCAGAAAAGCTCACATGCTGGCTGAGCGTGTGAAGAAAACTAGGCTAGAAGATGTAAGGAGATTGATTTTAAAGCGATTTTCGCAGGCACGGCACAGCACCATCCTTTTCACCGACGAACGTCTGTTTTGAACAGATCAGTTCCTGATCACTCAAAACGATGGGGTGAATGCGGGAAGCCCTGCAGAAGTCAGCCGACATGGAGGGACTGCTCAGCGATCTGTGCATCACAGGTCTTGATGGTTTTCGGGGCAATCACATCGGACGGCAAGATGCCCCCGATTTTCTTGGAAAAAGGGGTCAGGGTAGATAGCAAGACCCACATAAAAGGCGTGTTGGAGAAGGAGGTGCTCCCCTGGGCAAAATCCTTTTCGTCAATAGGACATGGACTTATCAGCGGGGCTCAACTCCGGCACACAAGTCCGAAGTGGTACAGGACTGATGCGGAACGCACTGCCAGACCTCATCTCGTCGTACGACTGGCCTCCAAACAGTCCTACCCCAAATCCATTGGGCCATTCCGTTTGGTCAGTTCTTAGGACGAAAGCCTGCTCTACTAAGCATAGAGTTTGGATGCTCCACGTGCAACCCCGCTGAAGCATGGGAGGATTCGGACCAAGACTACCTCCGTGCCGCCGTCGACGCATCTCCTAGGAGAGCTTCAGCCTGTATTCGCGCAAAAGGAGGCCATTTCGAGATCTAGGTTGTTTTTGTGATCTATATAGCTGTTGATAAATGCTGTTGGTGTATTACAATGTATCGATCGATTTGACCGTTTTTACGATCATATTTACCATTGCCAGAACTTTTGCCGCACGCTGTATAACTTGATTCATGCCCCTGCTTCTCAATTTCAGTGCAAGAAGTTATCTAGATTACGCTTATTTTACGCACCCTCCGCCCTCTATGCCCCCTACGACCCCCTCCTCCTCGAGCGGAAACAGTTCAGTCACTTTTTCACCTATCCTACCAAACTTGCTTGCCTTAGACCCAAATTAAAACTCTCACGCTCACCCCGCTTTGGAGGCAGGGTCTAGCCTCATCATCCATCATGAGTGCTTCCATCCTGCCGTCTGTACTCATATCGAATTTGAAATCTGTAGGTCCAATAAACAGGATCGGGGCACCCACCTTCACTCTCATACTCATGCACACACACAACACACACAACACATACCCATACGGACAGACAGGCAGACAGTCAGGTAGACAGAAAAACCAACAAACACAATCAGCGCATTATGTATAGTAATACACCTCTACACTTCCAAGTACGGCTTTCTATGAACCTATGATTGTATTACTGAGTTTATTGATTTCTTTAACTCCTCACGAGGTTTGTAAATAAACTTTATTAGGCTGACGTTTCGGCGGAGTCACCTTCCTCAAAGCCTGAAAGGATCATAACATTCTGTGACTCTCCGATCGAACGTCTCCACTGCCACACTGAAGTTCGAGACGCCAGGGCACGCAGGTGATCAAAGGAGAACCACTCAACGTATCTTTGCGGTTTCCTCGAAACCACCCAGTAACCGACGAAGCAATCGATCAGTGACAGCTGGGGTAGGTCTTCATTCGAAGTCGTTGCGGAAAGGCCAATCCTACTTTATATAATTCGCTAAGTGTGTCTGTTGGTGTGTCGGTGTTTGTGTGTGTGTTTGTTGGTGTGTGTGTCCGACAGGAAATTCATAGCTCCGGTTCCCGTGGACCTAGCAAGCTCAAATTCGGTAGGAGTACAGGGGTGGCATGGAAACACTTATGGCAGGTGGTAGGACTGGACCCCGCCTACAGGAGGCGGGGCGTACGCGATAGAAAATTTTGGTCGCAAATTCATAACTTCTGCTCCAAAGGAACCAAAGCGTTCAAAATTGGTAGAAGTACAGGAAGCAGGATAAGAACACTAATGATAGGTGATAAGCGGCGGTAACAACTGAAAGAAGTTGTTAAAGAGTCTCGAAAGGCGAGAGCCACAGGAACCGTTACTTACTTCGTGTTAATGGCAGAGCTTTGGCAATTCGTCAAGGGGTGTGATCAAAAAGGGACCGTAGATGTTAATTAATAGAGACTAATAACAACTGTTAGGAACTGATAGAAAGTGACAGGAGGCGGAAGCCAATAAGTCTAAAACGTCTTTCATATTAACAACTGACCATGAGCATTCCAGTAAATAGTGCAGGACGTGAAGGGACCGAAGTTAATTAGTGATAAGGACTGATATTAACAAGCGAGCAAGCGTTGCAATCCCCTTCGCGTCAACAGTGAAACCTTTTCAATGACGGCAATGTAGGATGTGACGTGGTCGTAGGTACTCTGTGACAATAATTGATAGCAACTAATAGGAACTGGTGATGGACCCTAGAGAGCAAAAGGGTATTTATGATCAAACGCTGGCTCCTTAAAATTTTTCACTCAATAAGAAACGAAATGAGAATTTTGTTCATTTCTTGCTATTAAACTACGAACGTTACGCAGCAAGCTTTGTGACACAATGAGGTACCGCGACTTCTTTTTGTTTTGTGACATATCATTTGTGACTCAACTCATCTGACCGCTAATGATTTGGGATTCCCAATTAATGAAAAATCCGTGGGGAGTGGGGAAAATGTTCCATTGATAACGAAATCTGTGATAGGCGTTACTATCTATTTCTGGGTACCATTCAAGACATCGGTTTCCAATCAGTTAAGCCATCATTGCCATAACTTCCGGGATGAATAAATCGAGACTTCCAATTATACTCATAAGCATCGGCACGTACTAAAATGACGTTGTAACATTTGTCCTGTGTCAAATTTTGTCTTCGTGGAGGTCTCCTGTCCCCATGGACCCACAAGTTCAAAGTTGGAAGGTTGGCGGCGAAATGAAAACACTCATTAAGGATAGCAAAACCAGACTCCGCTCACAATGGGCTGGGTTTGAGCAAAAATAAATAATCCTGTCCCCGTGGACCTAGAAAGTTCCAATTTTGAAAGAGTACATGCGGCAAGATGAGAACAGTCAGAGCGGGTAGCAGGACCGACTCCACCCACAGAGGAGGGGGGGGGGGGTTTGCACGAAAATTGTCAATTCGGTCGTAGGGCGTTCAAACTTGGCAGGATTACTGGAAACATGATGGGAACACTTATGGAGGATGGCAGGACCGGACCCCGCCCACAAGGAGCATGGTTTGTGCGAAACTAATGTTCGAGCGGAAATTCATAACTCCTTTCCCCGTGGACCTAGAACGTTCAGATTTGGTAGGAGTAATGGGAACAGGATGGTAATACTGATTGTAGGTGGGAGGACCAGACTTCGCCCACAGGGGCGGGGATTGCGCGAAAACTGCCAATTTGGCCCTAGAGCGTTCAAATTTGATAGAAGTAGTGGGAACAGGATAGGAACACTTATTATAGGTAGTAGGAAAGGATCCTGGACATAGGGGGCGGGGTTTGCGCGAGTGACTCAGTATTTGCGGGCGCAAAACCGACAATTTGGCCTTGGGGCGTTCGAATGATTCCAATTGCACGGAAATTTCACGGAGGTACGCCTCCTTAGCATATCTGTCTTTTCTTCACGGAATATTCGCCTTTGTGATATTATACGATGTTCTATCCGGACACAGCAAAGATGGCTTACAGAAAAAATCGCTCACAATTTGGAGCTAATACTGAGTCTTACAGGAACGAAGGACGCCCGGCAAAGCCGGACGACACCATAAGAGGGAAGGAAGCCCGGCATTAGCCGGGCGGCCCGACTGATTTTATATAAGGCCGCAGCTCCCGCACGGCATTCTTTCCTACGATTCATTTTTGGATCGGTGACTTGTATCCAAAATGCCTCGGGCGCTTTAAGCGGGCATAATTGCGACTCCTGTGCCACGTCCTCCACGGTGACTTCAAAAACGACTCCGCTGTACTTTTGATATCGGTGACTTTCAAGGCACTAGACTCCTTCAATCACTTCATACCATCTATGTGCTCCATAATCCTCACATGAAGAGTTCTTGCCGTTTCGCCAATATACTCATCACAATAATCACGTCAAGTAATCTTGTGAACCACCCCAGACATGGTACAATCTACCCCCCCCCCTTCCCCCCCGTCCTGCCAGCTGAGCAGACCACCAGTTTGCGGTTGTACAAAGGCGATCGCATAGCCTGTTCTGAACCAGGCGCTACTTTAGATTGAAAGGTGGTACGTTTACAATGGCGAACACGTTTTCCAAGCCCGATTTCTTGAGACATTCTTACTAGGCAAAACGGCAAGACCACTCTACGTGTGGATTAAGGAGCACATAGAAGATATGAAGCAATCAAAGGAGTCTATTGCCTTAGGAAGTCACGGGATTCGAAAGCAAAACGGAGGCGTCTTTGAAGTCACCGTGGAGGTCGAGGCACACGAGTCGCAATTATGCGCGCGTGAAGCCCTCAAGGCATCTCCGATACAAGTCACCGATCCAAAAAAGAATCGTAGGGAAGAAGACCTCGCGGGAGCTGCGGTCTTATGCAAAGTTGGCCTTCCCGTACCTACTTTGAATGTACACCTTCCCCAGCTGATTCTGGTCTATTGGTATTGTCGGTTACTGGGTGGTTTCGAGGAATCCGCAAAGGTACTCTGAGTGGTTCCCCTTTACCTGCGTGCTCGGGGGCCCCGAACTCCAGGGGGCACTGGAGGCGTTTAGTCATAAATTGTCATGGTCCTTTCAGGCTCTAAAAAAGCGACTCCGCCGAAACGTCAGCCTAATAAAGCTTATTCACAAACCTTGTGAAGAGTTCAAGAAAACAATAAACTTAGTGTTAGTTCCAGACGTTTTTCGGAGAGTTAGCAGAACTCGGTGGCATCTTATCCGATTTCGCTTCCCGAAGAGTCATGTGATCCTCTCGCGATGAGAGACACGCTTCCTCACAACGGACAATTTTGCAGAAGAAGTGGCGGTGCACATACGCGATACCGCGCCTGAATCGGATGGGTATGGCCGAGCCACAAGTCGCCAATGACGATGAAGACCTAAGCGGAAAGAAGATTGGAAAAAAAAAATGGTCAAGTGAAAGAGACCCGAACGGCTACGCACCAAATCGGAACGTTTAATCAGAAGTGTATCCACTTTTGGTTTCCAATCACGTACTCTTCGATTTGCGGTTTCGAATCATATGCCATCTGGTCCTAAAAATTGGTTTTCGCCTCCGCCTTTCCCTTTCGCACTTGAACAAACAACCCGCTGAGCTAGCTCTAGATATGCCGTCATTTTTGATTCTCATCAATCACATTACCCAGAACATCACCTGGAAATCGAAGCTAAACTCATCACTTGTCATTTCACCTTACATTAAAGCTGATCAATGGGTAAGGTAAAAATACAGATGGAGGAGTTGGAGGACCATTCGTTGACAAGTCCTTGTACTGTGTTCTCTCAGCGAGACCGCATCCTATTCACCCAACCCTCTTCCATTCCAACTTCTCGCATTATGTCAACATTTTAACCCCTCTGCTGCTCAACTCCTCGAAATCTATTCAAAATCTCCGCCGCTTTGGCTCGGAACCGTTTCTAAGCACCAATAAAGCCCACGAAGCCGACGCCACATCCTTCACTGCGCTCTAGCCATCCGCGTTAGAGAAGCGGAGCCACTAAAGTGAAGGCGTCCAACAATGGCCCGTATGCATAACGCCCAGGGTAGGGAAGGGCAAGGAAGTGTTTGTTTTCGCCGTGGGTCAGATAAGTGACGCTGGAGCGCAGTATTTCGCGCCTCCACTACCGTTTGGCCAATGTTAGATTGGTATCCGAAGTTCGTGTTTTTCGATTAATTGAACCTGAATTTGGGTAGAGTGTAGATTTTTGCCTCAGGAAAGCTTTTTAACAAAGTGGAGGGGAGCTACATCCCACGAAGGCTGAAGGAAGTAGCAGATGGAGGGATTGGAGGGTTGTGTCATCAAAGAGGCCGCAAGAACCATATCACCACCAGTCCATTCAGGATTACTTATTCGATACGTGCCACTTCTTCCACTCTTTAACCTTTACATTTCTGCGCCATCCTAATCTCGGGATGCTCATACCTCGAGAATCCTGCACATACGCAACCTTTCTCTATGCACCCACCCCCAGCACCGCAACCCTCGGCTTAATCCCTCCTAAAATTCATTCCTTGTCACTAGCACTGGTGTACATTTGGTAGATATTCTTTTCTCCAAGTCACCGCATCGAAGCATTTCAGTCCGTTGCAGCGTGTATTTCAACCTTTACACGTGGTATACACATGATTCTTGTTCGAAAACAACTTTTTCGCTCTAAGCGTCGAGCTTTCTTACTATTGCTATCATAATACATCTTCAACACTTAATTTTTTATGCGCTCATGGAAGATGTGGACAACACAATGGACAACAAGTTTTCGCACCTAGGCGGGAAGTGGCCCTTCTGCGCGAAGGTTCGTAAACCGCTTTTCAAGGCAGTGCTCGTTNAAAAATTAAGAGCAAAGCGAGTAGAAGGTGCACAATTACAACTGCAATACCTGACAGCCTTCATTTAGGACGAAAATTGAGAGCTATGAACAAAAGTGGAACATAAAATAAATTAATATCACGCATAACAAGCGCCATGTCGCCAACCCACTTCCACGACAGGATTAGCAGGGTAACAAAGAATAAAATGCAATAGGATATGTAATAATATACAAATCAGGCGAAAAACTACTCATTAGTTGCTCACAGAAATAATTCCAGTTTCCTTCTCAAATCACACCAGGATCGCGATGCAACATGCTCACGATAACTGGTGTAAATCTAGAAAGAAAACCTGCTTATCTGAATATTCGACTGCTTAATAGCAATGAATTCAGCAATATAAATAAATTTGTAGTTGGTTGCAGCAGTAGAATAAAATCAGAGCAATACTTGACGAATTCGGCAGCAGAAGTCAGAGGAATAAGCGCTGAGTCGAATAATGTAGTGAATAGCAGAGTTGCGGTCTACATGACCATCGGCGCCGCAGCTCTATTTTAGGGGTAGATTCATCCCCCTCCCAGGGTGGGGAGCCAATGGGGTCGGGCTTCTCTGAGCTCTCGCTAAGGTAAGGTCGCGCAGAGGCAAAACATCACATGATTATCGAGGGCTGTCGATTCTTCATCTGTTTATAGGAAAGACATCGCTCCATTGTCACTATCTTGACCCAAAACCTACCATTTGAACGTTCGCGCCCTTCGCAAACATTTCCTTCTCCTTCCCTACCCTGGGCGTTATGCATACGGGCCAATATTTTCACCCACTGTGAACTGTGAGCTTAGACCCACCATGCCCTAAGGCACTTTTGAACTTATCCCTTCAAATACTATACAAATAAAAAGGTTTATAAAAAGAAATGACATACTGCGCCTTTGTGTCAGGGTTGAGTTCATCCGTGCTGTTCAATCCCTGTTTACTGGCATGGTTATGTTCAATGGCTGTTGGAGCCCACCACGTAAGAGTTCCAACTACGAAAACAATGGCGGTGTAGCCAGCCGTCGAAAAGACATAGGTGAGACTGAAATCGAACCAACATATGCTTAAAAGATATCCGATTCCAAAAAATCTGGTGTGGAACAATTATCTAGATAGATCTTTTTTCTCTACCTCTATTATTTGGTACTATTTGGTCCTGATTCGACCGCAATCTCACGCTTGTAAGGAAGGACCACCGGCTTGGCTCAAATACGTAAACACGTTTTTCAATAGGACCAATGAATTGTTGTTTTTTGTTATTGCGCTAATGTTATCAAACGGAGTGGTTAATACATACCCTGTCTGTATCTCAATACCATTCTACTGATGTTTGATTAGGGGAGTAACCAAAAGCGGGAAAGATAATGATGTAGAGATGCTCAGTTTCCGAACATATTCGAGAGATAGCACAATGAATATATTATTAGTTAGCTCTGAAATGCTCAAAATATTGAGATTCTAGGGCTATCAATGCACTGGAATCCATGGGAACGGGAATCCTGGTGCATCTACATAAATGAGCTCGCCTCGCAGCTAGGCGGGTGTGGGTCGTTAGTTACGACTGAGATTACATCGCGCCGAGGTGCAAAGTGACCTTAATCGTAAGTAGCTTCATCTCACTTGTGAGAGTGATGGCGAATGAGAGAAATGATGAGAAAATTAAACTCCAAGAAAATTGGTTTTTCAACATTCACGGCCTTTGGTTTAACGAATTTTATTACCATATAGAATAAAAGAATCCTATAGTCATCAAAGTGAAACTCGTGTAAGATGTAAAAAACATCCCTTTGGTCATTCTTCTTTTGAATTCTCACTAATCTGTGATATAAAATAACATTTACAGAAGCGGAACGCCAGCCGGCTGATCAATTAGGTCATTTCACCCTTCACACTGAATATCACAATATTTCAGGTTGAAATCAGCAAATTGAAGAGAGTTCATCGGCTACTATTTAACCTTGTGGTTAAACGATTTATATGCAACCATTGAATATAGGAGAGAAGCCTTGCTCAAAAACCTACTATGTATTCAGAGGACACACTCTACTACTTCCGGGATTTCACGGGGTACCTTTCAGCTTCAACGCAGGTCTAATCCGCACCCCAACCCTTTTACTATGCTGCTTCCGTGCCGACGCAACCTCCACCAATGCAGCTCGGACCCGCACCACAACCATTACACTACGCTACTCCCATACAAAGCGTATGGAGCAAATGGCATCCAAATTGAGAAGTTTTACTTAAAGATGTCCAAATTCGTGACGAGCAAGACCATTTGAGTTGTTTAATTATTATTTTTAGATAATTGCTACTAGAAAAATAGCTTTCTTTACATTTTATTGAAATTTTTTGTTAAATTTTATCATCTTACATGAAAATAAAACTCTTTTAACTGAAGACCAGGAGAATTTTACGTTAAAAAACTGATTTTCTTGAAGTTTCATTTTCTCATCATTCTCTTCATTCGCCATCGCTCTCATAAGTAAGATGAGGTTAGTTACGATCAAGGGGAGGCGCGTAATTAAGATGAGGTTATACGATTGATGTCACTTCGCACCTCGGCGCAAAGTAATCTCAGTCGTAACTAACGTCGCACGCCCCACCTAGGCGCAAAGTGAACTTGATCAGGTGTGAAGACTCCGAGGTGATTATGGTGCCCGCATCGCTACTAATCGAGTTAAAACTTGTCAATTTAAGAGGATAATGACAGTTGAAAGGGGTGGAGTTCGAATGGAAAAGTTCCAATATCAATTCCAGCAGTTTTGAGGGTTTCATTTCATGCATAATAAAAAAAGTTCAATATAAATAAATAAATAAATAATTCTATTTCAAGCTCCTGGGACATGGGAAAATCACTTCAGTTCGCTCCTTTTTCCGGTATTTTCGCTTATTTGCGATATAAAATAATCTTTACAGGAGCGAAGTAGTTCTCTATAGTTGTTTAATATTGGGACTGCTTTTCATTGAGTGGTCATTGAACGCCCTGTGGCTCACCATTCAGGCCATTTCCTAGATTTACGGCATATAGCAAGACTTCAAACTGAATTCAGCAACTCGAAGAGGGGTTATCAAGGACTGTTCAACCGAGTAGGTGAATGCTTTAAATACCACTGCTTAATATATAAGACATTACCATACATTCTAGAGAAGCACTGTACTGTTTCGTAAACTCACAGGGTGTCCTCCCGCTGAAAAATATTCAGGAGTGCGCGGTCCATGTAGCCCATTTCCTCCACTGTCCATGCTCTTCATTTTTGCACCGGAAGCCCCAGCACTGCAAAATAGTTTTTTGGAATTTCCTCCCAATGCAGCTGGACCCCGTATCACAACCTTCGCCCTACATGCTTCCTTCGCCCACACAGCCTTCTCCAATGCAGTTTTGTATAAGGAAGTCCAGACTTATAAATTTAGGTTTTAAGGTATTCTTGTTACTCAGCGATTGAGCCGTTTTTTTTTCATATCACAAGAACTTCAACCACAAAATATACTAAACTTATTTTTTATGTACGGAAATAATTCTCTTAGAACCGTTGGAAATAATATTGGAACATTTCCTTTCGAAAAACCAATTTTTTGAATAGAAACTCCACCTTTTTATGACTGTCATTATCCTATTTAGTCGACAAATTTCAACTCGATAGGTAGCGAGTGCGGGCAGCATTATTACCGCGGAGTCTTCGCACCTAATCACGGTCACTCCGCGCCTAGGTGCAAGGCGAGCTCGCTAGGTGCGATCGCACCAATAATCGCACACCCGAAATTCATTGGGTATCGTTTGCTGGGCCCTGTTGGCGAATCATCATTCCTTCCACACCAGTACAACGCAAAAATGCCACACTCACTTTGTGGACAAGCTTTTGAGATCTTCAACATAACTGCTGGCCTCCACCTCAGTGGCGATTTCCCCTTTTTCTCGCTCGGCTCCACCTCGTTCTGGCTCCCGAATGAATGCAATGATAGCTATAAGGCAAATAACACCTGAAATAAACGTCGGTAAAAATGCTCTTCAGTACTAAACCAGTCAATTTTGAAGGATATGTAACTCGAAACGGCTCATAGAAATAGGATTGAGGTCGGAAAATTTTCTTTGAGCGAAAAATTAGAAAAGTCGGTAAGCATCAAGAAGAGAGGTTATTCAAAAGTTTCACGCCGTTTACGTCTTCCTTTCAGAATGGAAATACACAAATGCGGAGAGAGCATGCTCCAATATTCATATCCAAATGTTTCTCGTCTATGCCGCATCTCAGAAATAAAATGACTGGCAGCTCTGTGAAAACGATAAGTGAAAATTTAGCCTTCGAAGTTTTCATTCCGTTGCGACAACTGACCTAATACAGCTGTCACTCGAACGCCCCATTTCCAATTGCCTGTGAGTGCAGCTACTGAAGAGCCGATCATAAACCCGAATCCACTGAAAAGAGGAGCACTTGTACATACATAGCTACTGAAGATCATCAGCTCAGGGATCTCACCTCCCACAAGGGATCGCGAAATAGAAGAACATCAACATTCGACTTCTGTTCTCTCCAGTAAACATATCGGCGATTATGGAAGGCGAAATGACTGCATACGAGGCTTCACCAACGCCAACTATCCCGCGGAGTAACAAAAACACCCAGAAGAGCTGAAACAATAACTTATTTCTCTTTTTAAGCGAACTAGAATCAAAATAATAGCCAAAAAAGGCTGTGGATTTGCTTAGAAAAGGTGAAGGAAGTTCGAACCAACATTTGCAGGAACAAAGGTGGAGGCGAGCACGGCAAACACCCATACTGCTATGCCAACTGACATAATCCATTTTCTATTGTACCTACAACAAACAGTTGCGAAACGTGAAACAAGACAGTAAAAAAGGGTTTATGAAAGGTCTGGCCGGACCTGTCACCTAAGAAACCACACACTGGCGAGCATATCATGAAAAACACCATAAATATAGTTTGTAACAGACCCCCTTGAGCGTCGTTGATTCCATAATAATCTTGAATATTTGTTAATACACCTAAAATCATTTAAAATGGGCAAATTCTAATCATACATGGGACATGCATCATCATAAAGAACATAAAGAGAGAGAGAGCATACTCATCTGCTATCGTATACCTATCCATGTAGTTGAGAAGATTGATACAAAATAAAATAGCTACACATAAGTAGACCCTGGGGACCTGAAATGAGAAAATGTATTCATCATCTTACAAGTTGTTGCATAAATCATGTATAATATATCGCCCATGCTTCATAACCGCAGGGTGTATGTAGTAGCAGCAGAACTAGAATTCCGATATCGTACAAACCCACTTTACCTCCTCGCTGGAAAAGTTGTTTCGCAGATTGCCTTAAAGTTATACCTAGATTAATTCATGACAAAGACAGCACCCGAAGAGAGAAGATCTCCTTGGACACTTCTGACCTTAATTCTTATGCCTCTCTTAATAGTGAATTCAAAGGCTCGAAGAATTGGGGTTCAGAACGTGGGATCGCTCAATGGGAAGTCCCGAAAGGTTGCTGATCTGAAGCGCTGGAATATACAAGTCCTATACCTTCAGGAGACCCGCTGAAAAGGAGCAAAGGCCAGAGGAATCGAAGAGGTTATCAAGCTTTACGACATTAGAGAAGACACTAAACGATGCGATGTTGCTATTGAAGGACTCTGCTTGCAGTAGCAGACTCCGGCCATCGCAGTAGCAGAGTCCTTCGAAGATTCCGTCATCGCTATCAACAGAATGAGCGATCATATCATAGCTGTGAGGTTGTACACAAAAGAGGGGTACTGGACAATGATATCCACAAGCCAGCTACCCCGAGTGTAAAAAAGATTAGTTCTATCTGTGGTTCGACAATGCCAGATCAGTTTCGGAAGGAAATTATCTCACGAAAGAAAATGTTCTTAATGAGGAGTGAAGGGAAAGGAATAGAAAGGGTACGTGGAGATAAATTGGATCAGGAACGAAGAAGGAGAAAGGGTTCTCGATTCGGCCAAGCTCATGATTTTACAGTCTGCAGCGCATTCTTCGCGAAAAGGAAGACTCAGAAGGTGACCTAAAGCAGTGGAGTGGTCCTAAAAGGCTACAATCTCCTTCTAGAAAACGCTCCTAAGCGCTATTACAGGGTTGCGAAGCGGGCTACCTCGCCTTCCTGCACTCTAGAGATCAGTCCCAACGACGAGTCTCCTTCTCAGCTTTAGTTCTCAGATTGTGAAAGTGAGAGCTGTAGGTACTTCATAAGTCTTTACTTCGAAGAATAGAACAAAAACCACTTTGCTGAAATCGATAAATTGGCAAAGTAAGCAGACACAAAGATGGAAAGGGGAGGCGAGGAGACTGCAGCAGGCGAAAACAAATGTGGGAACTTATGTGAAATATTTACTATGCATCACATTAACAAAAGAAACCTACTTTAACCTGGTATAATCGTCTTCTGTACTATATGTATAGTCAAAGATGCTCCGACTATTTATCGACCCCAGCACGCAAATTTTCGTAAGAAACTTTGGTCCGGGATTTTTTCAACGATTTCTCAGAAATTCGAATCACAGGCGTCCCTTTCCAGCATAAGCCATATCACCTACTAACCGATTTTAATGCAGTCCTAAAAATTTGTAGGCCAATTGGAAGCAAGAATAAAATCGCGAACATTCCCTCAGCACCATTTTTGACTTTTTTTTTCCATCCGTGAGAAAGAGAGCCGTAGTTTCCAAATCTCGTCCTAGGAATATTTTTCACCGTTAGTAGTACCTTCTCAGAAATGACCCTTACGGATTGTGTTCTGATTACGTTATATACTTTTCTCGGCAAAAGTAAGCGATATCGCTCTAATGAAACGGATTTTAGCTCAAACCATCATGGGAGAGAGAAGGTAGTAACGGGAAACGATCTGACCCTTCTCATCGGCTTCGGCCTTCTTGGTGAATCACACACGTGAACTGTGTGACCTGAACATTTCATTTATGCTAAACATCACTTTGTCAGAAAAAAGGTGTGTCGAAGCGCGTGCCGCGAGCAAGGGCCGCCATTTGTATTCCTATCAAACTTCTTCTAGTCAGAAAGCCCTTAAAGCTCTCGGAACCTATTTGGATAATTGCATTTACTCGAGCAAGACTTTTCTTACCGAAGTAGAACATACTGCTTGAAGGTTTCGTAGCGTTATCATTCTCAGGCATTTGTATGTGGAAAAGGGATTGTAAGGAGAGAAGACGACCGCCTTGTAGCATGTCGCTGACCTGCCCACGCAACTCGATTCGATAGATTGTCATGCGAGAAATGTCGAAACGACGAGATATCCCGGAAAGTGGCTAACTAACAATAAAGGGCGGGTAAAGACGGAACGATTTGACGCGATGCTTCACCATTATTCGAAAGATGACGAATAGTGCAAAAAGCAGATATGTGGGCTAGTGTTTATCGTAAACATCAAGGGAAATGCAAACTCGAAAAAAAACTTTTAAACAGGGACTTTGCGGATATCAAAAGTTGTTAACATAATTATGCCGCATATTAAAACACGATCAAATAAGATGTGATAATAGCAAAACAGCTGCATCGTCGCAATTTTTATTCCTCACCGGTAAGGCTACGCATGCCAACGTGTGCATCACAGCCGCTTATCTACGATCCCACCCAAGATGATCAGAGAAATATATTCATTGCTTCATATAAACGATAATACTTCATCCAAAACTCGACACACAAACTCCTTTTCTTTTTCTGGAAGTTAAACACCAAGGTTGAGGTACACAAGAGTGAAAGGCTTTTTAAAAGAACGTAGAAGGATGGACGGGGTTTTTTGGCTTCGACTAATCACGGATTGAGATGGGTCCCGCAAAGCTGTCATGGATATTTACGTTCAAAATTCGCACCGTTGGGTTTGATTATAGGAAATTGCGGATCAGGAATGTAATGAGAAACAGTATTCCTGATACAACTGTAGAGGTTTCTCAACCTACGACCTCTTTTGAGCACTAGATCACCCCGTGATTGGAATGAACCAAATATGGTCGGAGGGTCAATACAAACCTAATCAGTAATAAATTCCATGTTCTCTCATCTTTGAACCTCGGCATGTCTGTTGTTCTTGAAATCGTTAGTTTTTGCTTCTGCCTCGAGGTTGGTAGGTGGAAATATTTATTGTGGCCGACGTTTCGACGGACTCGTCGTTTTCAAAGGCCTTACTTCCACCGCGGAGTGTAGCCACGCTACACGGTTAGTACATTAGTAGCGAAATTTCGAAATTCGCTACTAATGAAGTAACCGTGTAGCGTGGATACACTCCGCAGTGGAAGTAATGCCTTTGAAAACGACGATTCCGTCGAAACGTCGGCCACAATAAATGTTTCCACCTACCAGCCTCGAGGCAGAAACAAAAACTAACGATTTCAATAACTAATCAGTAATTTTTTGCTAACTGCTGTTATTTCGTCGTAGTACGCGATCTGGAAGCCTCACAAGTTGGCGGGTTATAGGCAAAACTTTGGCCTCGAAAGGAACTCGATCCCGTAGTTGTGCTATTCTCTTTCTCTCACACTACCGAGTCTCTTTATCTCTCACACTACCGAGACACCGCCTGACCTCGCCTTCTTAAAACCCTGCCGTACGACATGTTTTCAAGTTTTTCATCGTAAAAGTTTCACCGATCAACTACAACGAGCCAAACTACTCTTGTAGTACGGGTTCGAGTTCCTTTCGGAGTCGAAATTTTATCCATAACCCGCCAAACCTGTGAGACCACCAGATCGCGTACTACGACGAAAACGTGGGAAAACTATTGCGCTGGTCACATCAGGTATGCGTATGGATCAGATGACCACCACATACAGTAACGGCTTCGCCGTTCTGGTATCGTGGGAAGTTAACAGAGCGCACTTACTTTTATTTCCAATTCTCGACGCGCTCGTTCTCGCTGCCTTCCCGAATTGATTTCATCCACTATTGATGATTCGTCATATGGCTCAATTTCTATACTTCCTTTATCATTTTTAATAATGTCCATTGTACCTGAAAAGCCGTAATGAATTATGTTCACTTAATATTCTCAGCGATTTACATGCAAACGATGCGATAAGAATAGGTTACCCATAGAGTGTATCAAAAATTTTCTATTCTATTCTTCTGTGAGATTTCGAATCCAACTTTGATCAAAATGTTCAGAAGACAAGAGAAAAAGAATTCGAAAATTGGTCCTCTGAGTGTAAGCGAGATGATGGGAAAATCGGAGCGCCTAGCACAGGTCTTATAATTTTTGACTAGATTTTTGCACCAATTTCAACGTGAACTTCGCCCGTAGGCGCCAGGGAAGCGTACGCTAATATGACTAATGGTAAGCTCTCACCGACAAATTAATGCTGGAATGATGCTTCCAGCTTTTTGCGACACCTCGTCAATCACGAGTTGAATTGGCTTAGAGGAACTAGGCCGATATCATCTGTTAATGCAGTCCTTGAGAGGAGAAATTTTAACATGAAAATTGCTTTCACAAATTCAAAAGCTCGGCGCAGCTTTTCACGCACCCTGTCCATCTTCATTAAAAAAAACCAGTAGAGTTCAGGAGACGCTGAGGGTATTTTAGGTCTACCCAGCTCAGCGAACCCAACCTACGCTATTTACCCAATGCCGCTCATGAGAATTGGAATACTAGTGAGAGAAATCACTGCTTTTCGCAGTATTCTTATTGACATACAATGGCTTAAGCGTTTTTGTTTAGTAGACGACGCAAAAAATTATTTCAGCTTCTCATTGACGTAGGCGTCCAACTAGCGCCACTGCACTACTGCTAGGCTACACAATCGATTGTGAGGAAGCATACGGTCATTTTTCACAGTTACAATCCTAGAAATTCCAAAAGTGCGAGTTTTACAGTTGATTACGATTGAATTGTGGTGGAGAACCGACTTCATGGGTCAACAGCGTCTTGCATGGTCCACGACACAAGACCATTTCTTCAAAGCTGCGCTGTATGCATGGTATAGTGAGGAGGTATATCATGCTTCACAATGATTCGTTCATAGATATTCGGAGAAAGGTAAAACTATGCAATAAAACGAAGGAAAGCAAATAGATGGTTATCTGTGATTATGGCAAACTTGGAAAATCC